CCTGCTGGTCTCAGGTGTTCTTCCTGGTTTTCTGGACACAGATGAATCAGGCATTGTCTAGGACAGTGGTGGCCAACCTATGGCATACATATTACTGCGTTTTTCTTTTAAGACAAAGATGTTGGGCTGGGGAGTAAGCTCAGTGTTCCACCACCTGCCTTGCAAGCACAAGGACCCGAGTTCGATCCCCAGTACAAAAAAGCAACAAAAAAAAGGAATTATTTAAGACAAAAATGTTAATGTATGAGTTGCTTTTTTTCTAAATTAAAACCTCAGTATTCAGGTTTAATCGCAGTGCTGGCACTTCGGGATAAATAAGTGGGTTTTGGGTTATAGTTTGGGCACTCGTCTCCAAAAGGGTCACCGTCACTGGTCTATGACTCAGTGAACTCCTGGCTACAGGTGTAAGCCAGTGCAACTCCTGGAGAATGTTCTCAGCTATCCAGCCCCAGCTCTGTCCCTTGCTTGTGAGTCCCCTGAGAATGCCCCTTCCTCTGTAGCTTTCTTGACAGAGTTGGACCAGATCAGTAGTTGTCAAACTCTTTAAGCAGAGAAACCCTTTATTTCAGTGAAAATGCCACCTAGGAGCTAAGGGTGTAAAGCAGATACAAAAGGAGCTAATAGACAAGGGGAGGCAAACTGCACACTCAGTTCTGGGGGGTGCTTGGGGAACCCAAGAATTCAAAGACTGGTAAAGGGGGCCATTCAGCATTGTCCATGATCCTGAGGCCCTGCAATGTAAGCAGCACTGTCTTGAACCATCCAAGGAGTTTGCTTTGTTTTTCAGTTTTGTTTTTATTTTTTATTTAGTTTTTAGTTGTAATTGAGTTCATTGGTACATTTTAGGTATACAGTACGGTTACATTCATCACTGGGATCTTGTACCTTTACATGACAGGTCTTGGTTCTCATTTTTTCCCCTTGTCCCTGCCCTCCCTTCACCCCCACCTCCTCTCCCTGTTTACAAACATTTTATTGCCATTTTTTCATTTTCTCATATTTTTTTCTTTTCCCTTATTCCCTTTCCCCTACCCTTCCCACTTTCCCTACACCTTTAGCTCTTTTCTTCCTATTTCACATTATTATCTCATTAGGATCTTATGTACTATTATAGTTTTTCATACCAGAGAAACTATTTGGTATTTACACATGTGACTTATTTATTTCACTTAGGAGTATATCCTCATAATGTATCCATTTTCCTATGAATGAGTCTAATTTCTCATTCTTTATGGCTGAATAGTATTCCATTTTATAGAAAAACCACATCTTTGTCCAGTTTCCAACTGATGGGCAAATGGGCTGTTTCCATATTTTAGCTATTACAAACTGTGCTGCTATAAACATAGGTGCATGTATGTCACTGTGATATGATTGTTTTAACTCTTTTGGAAAGATACCCAGCAGAAGGATGGCTGAGTCAAATGGAACCTCTAGTCCCAGCTCCTTGAGGTATCTCCATATTGATTTCCATAGTGATTGCACCAGTCTGCACTCCCACCAACAAT